CCCCCCCAACTAAAAGTTACATAGTATTGGAACTAACAGCTCCGCGCCAGCAGCCGGGAGCAGCAGAGCACATTAGCGCCTCGAAAAGGTACACCGCGGCGGCCTTGGCTTGGGGACCAACGAGAGGCTAATTCTTTTCTGATGAACATGCGCTTATTAGGAGAGAATACTAATTATTGCCACCGCATGCCGCCAACCTTTCGCCAAACACGGGAATGGAGATTAAGTGATAGCCATAGCAGAGCTCGCGCCTTCCGCGTGGATGTCAAGAGAGTCAACAAGTGGTTGACACTCGAGCACCGCAAAGTGCTCGACAGAAAGTCACACGGTAAAAACTGAAAACACGAGGGTGGCAATCTGCAAGATCTCGAGGGAAAAGCAAAAACAAATGCGTGATTTAAACGTAGCAAATTTAAGCGCGCCGGTCACTGAGTAATAAAAAATAAAATAAAATAAACCTCCGCCTGCAATAGTTTGATTTGCCTGCGCACGCCAGTCGAGTTGAGGCGGGGCGGACAGATCGTGTACAACACACGGCCGGCGGCGATGGTGGCGCCGCGCGCTCCCATCCTGCTGCGTCTCGACAGTCAGGAAATTGCTAAATTAATTGGGTCATGTAAGGTCGCGAGGAATCCATCGCAATCAGCGCGAGCGAAAGGTTGTTGTTATGCCGACCTTGCGATCGAGTCGTTGGTTGTAAAGGTGGCGGCGGCAAGGCATATGGGGCCGATATACACGGGGGACGCGCACCGCGGCCATTTGTCCGCGTCAATCGGGCGCGAGCTCCATGCAAACGTATCTCCAGCAGAGAGCACAAGGGTCTCCCTGTGTCCGCCTCCCGTTCGGAATCAACAACACGACGCGCAGACTCCACACCATCACGTCGTCGTCGACGGGAAGCGGAACGAGCGCGCTTAGCCGCCCGGACCAAGGATTTCTACGATTCGGAAGGCAACCACTCCGAATAATATGTCGCGCACGACACGACAACAACGCGTCGTCTCTCTCGCTCTGGCGCACAACGACCGCTCTCTCTCTCTCTCTCTCTCTCTCTCTCTCTCTCTCTCTCTCTCTCTCTCTCTCTCTCTCACACACACACACACACGCGGGCCATCGGCACACTATCGGCCCCACCTCCTCCTTACCGCTTCCCCACACCCGCCCGTTTCTGGCCGCCACAAGGTTAACGTGGGTGAGCCAAATTTCAATCGCAAATATCTCGCCGACTTAGAGATGGTCCGGGCGATCGGCGGCACATAGCGCCGCCGTCGCCTCCTTTCTGTCGAACTGACAGCCCCGCGATAAGCTCAAACATCACGACAACAACGGGGGGACTCATCTTCTCTAGGATCAGCAAAGCAAGAATCTGTCCGCGAAATATCCGCCGCACGAATCGACGAGCGAACATTTATCAGACGCACCTTCGCGCGTTCTGCTTATCAGATGACACCTGCAAATTAATTCTTACGCTATGGCCCACATCGCACACCCATAGGCCCAGCTCGACCCCACGCCCACGGCCCATGGGGGCGAGACTTCCTATAAGCAACGACAATGTAATATGTGATTGCTAGATGACCCCTGCCTTCCCCTCCCCCGCAATGCGCAAGAGAGCCATATGACGTACAGTCGTATAGTTACGTACAGACGATAGGCAAACAACACACACCCGCCGAACTGGAGCTTTGTCTGTGGTTCGGACAACCAAATTGCAAATCAACGATATCCTGTGCTCATAAACATTACCCCCTTGATATTTCATTTTTAAGCAATAATAGCACGTCGAAAAGCTCATTTTTGTTTCTACAGAATCCTAAAATTATAATAATTGCGTGGACTGGCGTTTCCTACACAAGGAGTGCCACATGGGAAAAAGAACAGAGATGATACCGTGCAAAAAATTAAGCAGGCGCGATGGTTATCGAGTAAAACATGATGGGAAGATGGGCCTGCGGCAGCGAGAGCCGCGACTCACACTTGACAGAACTAATTCGTCCTCTGAGCGCACAATGGGTCGTATAGCGAGCGTGACCACGGCGGCAGAGCTACGCCCGCGGGGGACACTGCAAAAAATCAAATTAAAGGCGGCGGCGGGAGCCACACACAAGACGCCGCGAGGCTCGCGCGCGACCAAAGCCCTGTGCAGGCACCAATCCATCTACCGATACGACGCGACGAGCCATAAGAAGGGGGCCGACACAGGCCGAGACCAACACTGGAAAACAGAAGGTGCTATCCACACTGCCTCTTTGAAGGGTTAACTCAGGACATCTCCTGGGTTAACCCAGGACATCCCTCGGGTTAACCCAGGACATCCCCTGGGTTAACCCAGGACATCCCCTGGGAAACCCAGGACATCCCCTGGGGAAAATGCACGTTTCCACGGCATCCCCTGCTGGAGCTTTCCAATTCCCCTGGAAAATGCGCGGAAAACTCCTGAGAATCCAAGGGCTTTGTTTTTACCGTGCATCCAAGAAGTGCAGTCTCGCTGCGAAGCAGATGGCAATAAGGCGAGCAATAAGCACTGATGGATGTTTACTATGCACAAATAATAACCGTGCGCAGTGTGATTTACAGCGCGGTGCAGCAGGCGCGTCCAGAGAGGAAGTTGTGTTCCGATTGGTTCCGAATGGCGCGCGAGCCACTCGTCACCGCTGCTCAGCGAGGATGCGTGAAACGAGAAAACGCCCAGTTTGGGGTTGTCAGGGGCAGAGAGCCTGCCCGGGCAGAGCGTGTGGCGGAGCGTGGCGGAGCGGCGGAGGAGGAGGAGGCGTGCGGCGAGGCGGCCGGCAGCGCGAGCCGGTGCACTCCGGAACTAGAGACCCATCATACACGGACAAACGACATCAAACTCGAGAGAGAGAAAACATAGTTAAAATATGGAGCCACGTACTTGAGGAGTCATCCAGAAGGCACGCCCGTCATTCGCCGTGTTGTACGATAGCTGCAAAGTTAAGTCTATGCCAGCTCTCTTAACGCCTGAAGGGTAGGCAACATCTTGCTTGCAGTGCAGGCGTGCACTGCAGTGTGGCCTACCCTGATATCCGCAGGCGCTAGCCACTCCCGGCGCCAAATAAAAACGAGAGAATAACGGACGTTCTTTCTGGACGATCTTTTAACAAGTGCGTCGTACAACTCTTAATTGTGGGTTACCGATATTTTTTTTTCATGAGCCCTCTCGATAAGTGCGGGTCTTCGCCTTTACAAGCCTTTCCCAGCAAACAAGACAAAACGCAAGCTAAGGCAAAATTTATCAAGCCTCTCAAATTTAGTAATTTGTGTAAGTTCCCTCCGTGATGATGATGGTGACTATTTTAATGAATGTTGTTGCTGGCACGTCGCCTGCGCTGCAATCAAGCCCTCGGGGATGGGAAATTCAGTTGGCAGCGGATCAGAACGCGGCCACCAAAAAACAACAACCCACGCGCATCACGCAGCAGCCTTAAGCCGGCCGGCAACCTGGGAATTTTCCAGAAAAAAAATCGTGACGATCCCAGGAGAACATTGCAAAATTTTAAAATTTTCCAGAAAAAATGTTATTAATTTTGACGTGTTTAGAAAAAAAATATAAATCTGCCCCCCAATTTTTTCTAACATTAAAAATATCATTTTAAATTGTTGAAAATTAAAATCCTGGACGTGCAGCGCCACAAGCAGTGCGCTGGGCTGGGACGGAGCATGGTTGCGGTGACGGTGGCGGTGGTGGTGGCGGCGGAGAGGTCCTCACCGCGGAAAGTGACGACCCTCGTCCTGGACGGCTTCCACATGGCGGGAGTAGTGCGTACGAGCGGGGCGACGGCTGGACGACCACTGGCGGGTCAGGGGCGCCACAACACAACATACGCCGGGCTACAGCCGGGCTCGCCCCGCGGCCACGCCGGGCCCGAACAGCCGCAGAAGATGAGCCGCCGGACCGAGCCGAGCCGGGCCCGGGCGGGCGGGCGCCGCGCACCGCAGACGGGTGGGCGGCGCTAAACGAGTCATGACGTCGCGGTGGGCGCGCCGCGCCGCGGACAGACGGACGGACGGCTGCGGCCAAGAGCAGAGCCAAACACTAGTAGTGCGTTGCCATGCCACTTGCACTCGCTCTAATGTCTTGGCGCCACAAAACTGCACGCTTCCTTCTGGACCGCCTGTCCGCCCCCCTTTGACGCCACGCGCCACGGTCAACTCAACGTGTTAAGGAACCATTGCGCGGTAAAAACAATAACCGACAATGTCTGCGAAAAGGGGAAAAACTTTGAGG